ATTCAAGAATGGATAATATAATGATTTTATGTATTAAAGCTTTTTGCCTTAAAGGTTAACAAGATGAATCATTTTGATGCAAGAAAAAAATTAGAAATATGAATCTTCGATTCTCTCTATAATAATGTATTTAATAATTCAAAAATGGATAATGTAATGATTTTATGGATGTCGACTTGCGATTGATCAAACTTATTATTTAAGTATAAAATGTGTGTCATCAGCATCATTCAATCAACTATAATTGCAATAAAGAATAATTTATTAGTAGACAATATACAAAGTTACAATAATATTATCAAAGTTAACTAAAGTAACCGAATTGCTCTTGAATACGTTACATATTATATATTATGTAGATATTAATCATATCAAAATATATAATCCAATGATTAGATATTTTCGGATAGAGTTATTTTTCAAGAGGTGACAGACTCTTTCTTGATGATCTCAACTAATTCTTCTACCAGCTCCTTATCAGTTACGTTGACAAAGTCGTCTTCGTTGACGCCCATTCTGACTCTATTCGCACCATGGACCACTATTTTCCTTTTCTTCGCTGATGCGTGGAATTCCTTCGCACCGGACTTCATAATTTCACGGATGTTATCCTTTGTGATACCAGCTCCGGGCATAATCACCAGTTTTCGGGCCTTTAGCAATAATGTTTTTATCAACTCCAGTCCTTCCAGAGCAGTATTCTTCTGTCCAGATGTCAGAATTCTCTGGAAACCAAGATCGGCAAGGACTTCCATCGACTTGACGGGATCAGTCGTCAGGTCGAAGGCGCGACTGAATGTCACCGGCAAGGGACGAGCGGCGGAGACAATCTTCTCGCATGCGACAACGTCGATCTCGCAATCGGGGGTCAACGCGCCGAAAACGAATCCGTTCGCGTAGTGATCCTTGAGGATTTTCAAATCGTGCAGCATGACGTTGATCTCCTCTGGACTGTACACGAAATCGCCGCAGCGAATGCGGATCATCGCGTAGAGCGGAATCGTCGTGAAGTTTCTTATTTGTCGAATTAAACCCGGACTAGGTGTTAAACCACCCTCCGATAGTGCCGCGCAAACCTCCAACCGGCTGGCACCACCTTTTACCGCGTTTCTAGCGGACTCTAAGGAATCAATGCAGATCTCCATCTACGAAATAAAATGATTGTTTGATTTGATCGGACGATGACGCACGAATCTCTTCAAAGATGCACCAATGTGCGACTTCGCTTTTAATCAAGAGTTTTCTTTGTATCAAAATTATACATCATTTTTCTACGTACAAATTAAGAAATCAAAGCAAAATCACATATAGAAACTTGTGACTTATTTTATAAGAAATTATTTATGCGAAAAAGAAAAAGGAAAAACGGGTTTACTTAGAACAAAGTCATACTGACTTTAATAAGGTGCCTTCTAATTATAATATTTTTGTGTTTTTTAATTATTCTTAACAATATAAATAATTTTAATGTTTAAGTAAAATATCTTTGTATCATAATATCTTTGAGAAAAATGTGATATAGGGATTAATAGTTTTGAATATATAAGTTTAAAATATATATCGTCTTTTTAAAAGTTTACATCATATGCTGACAAAACAGTATACGACAAAGAAGTTTATTGAATATATTTATCGACTGAAGGAAACAAGAATTACTTTGAGAATAATAATATTTTTCTGTTGTTTTATACAGCAACAAAGTTGATTAAAACAAATAAAATATTGACTTACCTCTTGGTTGATTACTGCATAGACCGGTTGATAATATAGCTTCAAATAGTTTCAATTACTCTACTATACAGCTGTATATTCTGAATGCTATATTATCTTCATTCAACAGGTGTCAATTTTAATTAGCATAAGTATTTTTGTCGATAAAATTGTACATATACATAAATATACATATGTATTCACTTCGATATAAACGCGCCGCGAGAAGATTTCCCAGACTCGTAAAAGAGCTGCATCAGCGGACAGCTGCAACACTAAATATGGCTGCCGGCCATGCCGGCTTTGTGAATCGAAACTTTACGCGCAAGTCTCGCCATCTGTATTATACTTTCGTGATATATTGCGTAGTGATAAACGATATCATATTTGTTGACGATGACTGCGAATTGTCTGTCATTCGCTCGACACAGATATTGCGGTGACAGCGAAAGTTGAAAACGCAAAGCTAACTGTTAATCTGTTTTCCGGAATAAAGGCAAAAAATAACACTAAATCTGATAACAACTTTTTTCTGAATTCTTAATTCCATACGATTATCAATCCTGATTTTACAATCAGGCGAGTCAGCAACAATCTCGCGTAAAACGTTGTTATAATGTTTTTGCTTTATCAGCACATAAATTATATTTCTTAATCAACTGACTGATATAATTTTACATCGTGAGGATTACATATAATACGTATAGATGTATAAAACTCTTATTTATTGAGGGACAGGTTCGGATACAAGATTCACGAAGCGTAATGTAATATTGTATTATACAACATATATAATAAAATAATACCAAGTGCGACGCACGTAAATAATATTAATAATAATTATAATATAATAATAATAATAAAATCAATAAAATAATAATAGTAACAAATATCAAAAGCAAATTTTTATAGTGAGCGATGACAATAAGGTTTAGAATTGAAAAAACATTCTGTAGCACATCGCATATCGGAATCAATTTCTTCTCTTTTTCATTGAGTTTTCATTATAAAGTTTAGAATACACTTCAGTTTAGCGTGATTTAACAGACCAAAAAAACGCGCGTATTTTTTGTCACTTCCTCAGTACAATTTGAGGCTGCGGTTCATTTGATGCTACAAATGCTTCGAAGCGTTCTTTGTTATTTTCTTTGTTCATTGAAAGAAAGGAGAAGAAAAATGCTTCGAAGCATTTGTAGTGTTAAGTGGACCGCAGCCTAAATCGTATTTGCGTTCTCGATTTACGTTCTCGAACAACGAAGAAAATGCGATCGTCGATCGTAGGCATCCTTTCGATTCATTTGTTCAGCGTGCCTGGCAAGATTAGAAAAATTCGAACAGATAAAGAGATTTTCGCGTGCAGGGAGACCGAAACGAGTCTCCGATCTCATCGCGATTGATTCCAATTACCATTAAATATACAATTACGCGGGAATAACGTAATAAAAATGTACAATTTATCGTATTCATCATCGCGTTCCGACTATAGGCGGATCTAGCTTACTGCCCACGAGGGAAACGTCAAAATCGTAAAAGATATATTTTATCTCTTCCACGGTGGTTGAACCATCCCGCAATGTACTTCCGAGAGGGACAATTCCCTTCAAATCTCCATTCTAGATCCGTTCATAAAATTCAATATCCGTTTCATAAAATTCGACTAAAATTCAATAGCGATGTATAGCTAGGGAAAGGATTGAGGTGGAAGACTTGGAAAATCAGAGATCGCCGTTCGAAACCGCGATCGGCGACGGGCTCGTGGAGTTGCTGGAGTTCGTCGTCGCCCATTTATTCTTGTGCGGATCGACGCCAAAGCCCTCGTCGTAGTTTCCCCGTGTGATGAAGAGTTGCTTGAAGTGCGGGATACAGTACAGCTTGCCGTTATTCAGAGTGAAGGAGTCCATCCTGTTCGAACACATTATGTCGTAATAATAATTTCGTGACTATACTTAATAACTGTATTTAACTTGTTTTCGTCAAGTGATGTAATATTTATGTATATATCGCAATATGTATCTATTATCTATTAAAAATTGTATTACAATATTATTCCCGCAAACAAATCTTCTTTAAATTATCTTCATTTTTATACATATATTTACATGTTATTAATTATTAAAATGTTTTTGATAATTAACACTGAAGGTCTTTGACTTCACTTTTGTAGGATTTTTATTTTCATATTAAATATAATATATGTAAATGTCTAATGATATAAGCACAGGGAGCTTACACGCGTCCTTTTTCGTTACCTTAAAATGCAATTGCACTGGAGACACCGGAAGCATTGCTTATGGAAGATTTTGTTATTTGTCTCGACCTTCTCCAAGGGGTAGACCTTCTTCTCGCAGCTCTCGCACACCTCCGCGCAGGTCGTCTGGATCTCCTGCACGATTGTTACGTCAGAAGAGGGATAGCATGGTAAAAACTTATCCTTACGAATACTCCGCGGTAACGACTGGATAACGGGGATTTGTGTTTGCCGAATGTATATGATGGATCGTGTAAAGAAAGATGCTTTAAGGGGAGATATGTACATATACCACGCAAAGAGAAGAAGACGGAAGAGAGGCCGCGCATCGCTTCTCGCACCAAGAGATCCCCCTTGCCACCCCCCGCTGATTCCACCATTCCCCCACTCCTCTCCTTATACGAGACAGATTTAGCACCTGTTTTATTTATCACTTGTGTATTATCGTAATAAATGTTACACGTGAAAGATAAACAGAACAAGATCGTTATACATCAATAGAAATGATACGCTAAAAGACGCAGTGTGAACTAGTATTATCGCTATCTATGCTATACAAATCAGAAGAATTCGAGAGGCCGTTAACAAGGACTTTGCAATTTATCACGCGAGATCGTCTCCGTCGACGATCTCGGTCAACGGAGCGGATCTTTCGTAAATTAGAATCAGCTTAGCGCTTTCCGCTATATAAATCACGCTAATCTCTCTTAAATCTCTTAAATAAATTCGTAATTCGTGATTCGCAACGGAAGCTATTATTGCACAAACGAAAAAAGGAAGACGGTGAAGGTATTCGCTGTCGAGAATATACATTTTTTTTTTCGATCTTTCCTTCCTCTCTTTCTACAGCACTTAGATACATGTCTAAAAAAATTCGTACAATGCTCTCTCTCTTAAAAATGGGCCCTTCGACTCGAGCTCGAGGAACGCGACAGCGTTTTTACCCTGATATTCTGCGACCGACAGGTCACTCGCATCCCCATGCTTCTTCTCTGGAAGTATAAAATGTATCGAGTGTGGCATCGTGTGCCTCTATGTCGACGTTCTCGCGTCTAGCAGCAGCAGCAGCAGCAGCAGCAGCGAAAATGTCATTTCTATTTTCGAATTTGCGGCGAAACGGTAACATTTTACACGATCTTGCGGAAAGTATAAAAAATGACGGACGTGATGAAAAAAAAATTATAAAGCCATTAATGATAAAACATTTTACTCAGAAATAATGCAACGTATCTAAGATATAATACAATTAAGATTAATATATTTGCAATTTTTTTATAAAACAACAAATACGTAGTCACAGTTTTTCGTATTGCACAGGTGCCTAATAGATGCAAATACACAACGCGCGCTCGCGAAATATATATTTTTTAATAGTTTCGAATCACAAATGCGGAAGCAAGCTCGAACGCGACGACACGAGAACGAAACTGTCGTTTTCCGTTTTTCTTTTTTCTTTTTCGAGTATAAAAATCTACCGTACCATCGCGCTAAGCTGTAAAAAGATTCGAAATTTGTAAAAGCGATCGAAATAGCTACGGTCCTAACCGCTAGTCGGCCCTGGAACACTTCGAACAGTGCCCTTCCTCTGTAGACAATTCCTTCAAGGCCCTTATCTCACCCGTTAAACTTGAGGAAGCGTTACCTTTCGCCTCTCGTTCGTCACTCTCACGCACTTTCTTTCCCTCTCGCGCTCTTACTCTCGCTCTGTCTCTCCGCTCATTCATGTATCAACGAAAAACTTGGCACTTATGAAAAATTAGAAATCTAAAGCGGTAGAGGAAGATCGTAACGATGCGAAATATGACAGTTTCAAATCCGTAAGTCGCTTCATATGCGTACGATATCGAGACAAAATAATATTTGTCGTTCACGCGATCTGTGAGTTTCATTTTCTATTATTTTCATATTTGCTCAGCATATTTTATACACAATTATTCTCTAATAATTTATATTAGATTTGTAATAATTCTCATTTCAATTTTTATTTACGTATTTTTTTTTAAAGCAAATTATTTATATTAAAAAAATAAAGACACATTATACGTAGTAATTGCATTAGTCATAAAAATTTAAATCCGTTAAAATCGAAATTACGGTTTGAAAAAATCGCTCGAGCGTTTAATAAAATTTGGCACACTGCATAGTCATTATAACATGTTCGTACGAACTTTGTTTTAATAATAAAGAGTTAAAAAATATCGAAGTGCTTAACTACGCCCATTTAGTTACATTGAAATTGTCAATCAATTAACAAAATGATGGCTTATCACGGGAATAGCATTAAGTTATGAAAAATTGAATGCGCATCGTTACGAATTTCACTGCTTAAAAGCGAATCCATCTGGCGTTTTACAGGGGATCTTAGCGTCGTCGCACGTATGTCGATAGAAAAAACTTTACACTTCTTCTAAAGATAGAATCTTCACACGACGACGATAAAGCCGCGTAACCGACATACGTACGACACAAAGATGGACGCTCGTCTTTTATGTATAAAGTAAATTAGTAGACAATAAAGTTCTCTCTCTTTGTTATATGTCTATAAGGATAAGTCGAGCGTTTCAGTGTAACAAATATCTCCGCTTTCCGATAAAGCCATGATTCCTATTATTACTCATGCAATAAAATTTCGCAGCTGTCCAATTCAATTTATTCCTTAATGTAGATCTTTATGGAAAAAAAAAAATGATTGAAAGATCAAAATTTTTTTCGTAGTCCCGTAATCTGCAATTCAATATGTATTAAATTCCTCGCATGTTTTCTTTTTCGTGACTCAGCATACTGTGGCCAACGGTTTATCGCCATCTGTCTGTGGAATTGATCTTTTTCTTTTTTCAAGCGTTTATCCTCCTTTATAATTGGCAATTTGGACGAAACGCTCGACGGATCCGACAGTCGCGCGAACTCTCATAGTACAATAATATATTAACACATAACATATGATACAGTCTACGGGCTAAGATTTGCTATTACGAACATAACGCCGAGTGTGTGTTAAAACCATCCCTAAGAAAACGCAAAGTCGTTACAATAATCGATGATAATACCGAACATATTTTATTGCCGTTGCTTAGTGCACGAGATTTAAAAAAAAAAACAACTGCTTTTCCAGCGCGGTTGTCCCAACGGCGCTCTCCTTCCTCCATCGATCCTCCTCCTTTTTCTCCTCCTCTCACCCTCCTCGCAATCGAATTAATCCAGGTGTATTTCCTCCGTCTCTCTCTTTCTCTCTCTTTCCTTTACTGCTTCGCGTCACAAAAAGAAGATCACTTGATTTTGTTTTGTGATTACTTTCGCTTTACGTTACCACACGACACAAGCGGGCAGGATTTCGGCCAAAAATATCGACAGGCAGATTTCAAACGAAGAAAAAGGAAAAAAATGTCAGAACAATAACGCCAAATAAAAAGAACGAATAAATATATAATCACATCAATCATGCTCGATAATAATCAGTAAAGGAATAAAGGAATTAAAAAAACGCCGATGCACATAGAATTTTAATTGAAACTTAATGGAACGTGAATACGTTAAATTTTGCCTAATATATTTAATTTTCTTTTATTGAGCTATCGGGCTATTTTTATCATTTTTAACCGCGGAATTGCAATTACATCGTTTATTTCACTTTGTAAACAATAAAAAATTAACTTTGCGTCGAGTAAATTTGAATGTTAAATTTGCTCTTTATATAGCGTATCAACAATTTATTCGCACAGAAATATGTTTCATTACAAAAAGTAATTTTAGAATTTAAAAAATGTAACAAATCGATCGATAACTTTAAATTATGTACATTGTTTAGAACATTACTATTGTTCTAAAATATATATATTCGTAATTCCCATAGTTTAACGTGTTTCAATTGCGTATATTTAAAACTAAGCAAATAAGTAACTTAAAAATATCTACCGATACTACAATATTACAATTGCCAATCGTGACTTATATATTATATGTTAACATTATAATTACAATATTATTGCAAATTGGAAGTTGCAGTACAGTGAAACAATTATCGTATCTGCCCCATAAAAAGTTGTAATAATATAGCGAGATCGAACATGAATTTATATTCGCAGAATCCATCAAATATGCGAGACGAAAAATTAGCGCATTAAATTATTATAAGCAATAATTAATTTTCATTGTAGAATGTACATGTGTACGTCGCTAATTAAGAGTGCAAAAATAAACCCTCGTTACATAAAAGGCGAGCACATCAAATGAAGTAAAATACAATAAAATCTCAGTCGTGCATTTTTTTCAAGCACTGTTTAAATTGCAATAAAATAACAAATGCTGCAATTTATTAGTCCAAATGGAACGTTAATTGAAAAAATATTATATTTCATCATTCGTTTAAAAGTTTTTAACGCAATATAAACACTGCTCTCGACGAATAAAATACACTTATGGTTTTAACATATAAAACGGATAAGCACAGGCAGAATGACAATTCAAAATCACACCATGCACATACTTTATAATGCCGAGTCGTCCAAACAAAAAGGGGAATTTATCGGGAGACATTTAATTCTGTCAAATACTTGACTAATACGATTACTCCTCCAGTGGGCGCGTGAAAATTTTAAACGTGAAAGGACGTGTGGAGCGTAAATAAGTTAATTAATAGGTTACAACTTTAATTTTAATGTATTTTCAATAATAATCGGTTCTGTATTGAAATGAGTCCGGAACACTAATTAAAAAAAAATACCTGGGGTGTAAAATACACCTCACAGGCCCACTGAAGGGTTGAACGCATAAGTCAATCAGAGAAGCGTGTTGTAACGGTAAAAAGAAAAAGAATCAAAGACGTGTTCTTCAAATTTAAACAATGCTAGTTGAAAATCAGGAAAGGTGGTGAAGTGACTAATTAAATGCAGGGAGAATAGCGATGATGACACAAACGACAAGTCGCGACACGGATATTGGACTAAGTCGAGGAAACATGCGCGATTATGTGGAAGACATTATCGAGAAGACGTACTTACCACAAATCGATTGACTTTGACCTTCGGTGCGCGCGGAGACTCGTTGGCCTGCGAGCCGAGGGACTCGAAACGAGCTCTGAGACTGCTCGCCGACTCTATGCTGGACTGTTCGCCCGTACCCTGGGCTATCTCCATTTCGGCGATATGGTGATTGCTGACCTTGCCGTCGGTCTCCTCCCAATGCTCGAACTTAGCACGTAGGGTCTTGGCGCGCGCCGCGTTCTGCGCCTGTTTCAAGAACTCGTCCTCCACCTAAGTTCGATAACAAGCGAAAGGATTTCGTGAATTATAGGGCGAAGCCATGGTGCCGATCGGCAGTAAAGAGCTGCTTTCCCGAAATTATGAACGCAGGACAACGACCTGCCCCCCCGAAAGTTCGTGCCGACTTTTTAGAGCCGTCTAATAACACGTTTGGGTATAGTCCCGCTCTGGCAATTTTCGGGACTTTGGATCTTAATTTATTTAGCAATTAAAGCGCAGGAAATTATATATATCTGAGGCGTGAAGACAACTTTTTAGAAAAGAATGAAAGGAAGACCAAAAAATTTCACAATTTAAATCCAATAACTCACAGTCAGTATTCTCTCTGATGCTTATTTTAACGCTATATATTTTAAGTAATAAATATAAAATAATATCCACAAAAATAAAAAGCTTTGGAAAGATCATCTTCACAGTTCGAATTGTTATACTAATCCGACGTTATATGAGTTTATGCGACTTTTTTATATTGTTCTAATCTTTCAATCATATTTTTATGTCTTTTATCACCTCCGTTCTTTCTTTCAATTTCTCGGTAATAAAAAATCTTACGTAACACAAACCTTGTCAGAAGCACGAACGTAGTTGGGATCTCTATCCTCGGCGCTTTCGTCACCGTCGGACTCCTCACCCTCTTCGTCCTCGCCCTCCTCCGAATCCGAAGCCGTCGCTTTGGCGAATTTATCCTCGGGAGGCGGTGTGAAGCGTTTCAAGGGTTTCGGACCATCCGGCAGTTCTTCCTTGGACGCGTTTTCCTCCATCTGCCGAAATATGGACAGCATCTTCCTCGCCGTGTCCGTGTGCACCACCTCGTCCACCCTGTCGTCGGCTCTGACCACGTCTGGATCGCGGTAAATCTCGCGATCCGGTGAATCCATCTGCGAAAGAAAGTACGTGTTAATAACCGCGTATATATAATAATAAAATATTTAAAAATCGTTATTTGATTATTATCCCGTTCCCATATAATCAAGTAAAGTAAATAATCTTAATTTCTTTTATTCTGAATAATTTAATGCAGATTTGATAAGATTTATAATTTGATACAATTTACAGCCATTATTATTCCTATACCTAATAAAATAACGTTGAACGATGTTATGCTTCGTGATAAGTAAAAGTTTTTTTATTTTCGCAAATTTATTAATTTTTTTATTAAAAAATATATTTTTAACTGACAAATTCTTCGACAAACTTTCCATGCAAAATGTATTATTTTTTAACGAAAATATTTCCGTGGAGCTCGAGAAAAATATATTAAAAACAATATTATTCTAAACCGTATACTTTTTCAATTTAAAGTCGATAAATTCAGAGATGTAAAATAACCCTTTCGTCAAAGAAAAATAAATTAGATTATATTTATTTACTTATTTATTATTAATAATTTATGCATCTAGTTTTTACGTATTAATTATGTTGATTTTAATGTTATATATTTGCATGGATCTGTCTAGTTCTTTCCGAAATTTTGTAAACTGCGAATATCACGAGATTATTGCACGTTGCATATCTTTGACATGTATCAACGCATTTATTTATCTTCTACAAAACTGCTCCGAAGTTCGTAGACAGATTACATGATAAGGCGACAAGGACAGATAATGAGCAAAAAGAACACACCTCGCGTGTGTGTTGTTTATCGCCTGATAATTTTAAACCGAATGTTTGAGTCATGATGCATCGTCGGGGGATCCCAGGTAAGCTGGAGATCGACGGCCGAAATGTTTCTTTTTACCTCCGGCATGAGTCAACTCAAAGGGTTTTAAACGTGGGTGGTGCGACTATAAATCTCACGTAAAAAATATACAGATCCTTTTTCTTTAATCGCAAATATTATGTTGTAACGGGAGAAGTAAACGTAGTAAACATTTTCAGAAATTTGGATAGAATATTAGAGCAAAAACAATCGCCCTCAAATAACAATTTTTAAAAAATCAACGTGTTTCTGGAAAATAAAAAAATATTATAAAAGAGAGAAATCATGCAACGTGCATAAATAAATAAGTATTCGCATACTTCGAGGTTTCAACAAAGACAACCGCAGTATCAACAAGGATTCCTATTACACGAAACAGGGCCATTCTTCTCGAGACATGGGAGTTGGCCCTTCTCGATCCTCCGATTGGCCGGTGCGTTCATACCTGAACCCAAGTGGGTCAGGTAAGTCGAAAACCTGATTGCTGATCACGTGGAGCGATCGAAGGTGGCTCGAGTCTTGCGACATTTCAAGAAGACCACCCTCGCGCCCAGTTTAGATGCGCGACTCTCAGAACGAGACCGGGACTGCCGACGAGCCGTCGGTTTTTGGTTGGACAAAAGGGTTACGCGAAAGGGATACGCTTCAAGGTTGGCATTTAATGGCGATAAATTGACAGGTTCAAGAGCGGTACACGCACTCTGCAGTGGCCAATTGCCGTCACTTGCGATGATCTGTTCATTCGCTTCTCGCTTATGCCGACGAATCTGCGCTGCAGCAAGTCGTTTAGCTTAAGAGCGGCGAAGAACAAAATTCTTAAGAATTTGAAATAAACACGTTACAATGTTGGAAGGAAACGATTAAAATAATTAAAATTTAAAATAATAAGTACATGTAATCTTATTTGATTCCGCTGGAAAAGAATAGAAAAAACGACTATGTAAATTATGCATTTCGATCATTCATCATTAAATAATCATTTTTAATTATTTTGCATTGGGAAGATAGAGCCGAAAAAATATAACTATAATTATTGAATAAATGTAATAAAATTCAAATTAATCCAGCGAGGACTTTCAGTCGCGAAAGCGACAGGAAATAGAAAACCGATAATTCTTGCGCGGTGTTTCTATTGAATTATGCGTTTACTGCTTCTAGTCTAAAAATAAGTAGTTTCCGTCCGAGTTATGTCGTTATTTCCTAAATCAAAGCTATAAGTCCGTGAATGCAAACATAATACAGAAATTATATAAAAATTGAGAATAATAGGAACACTAAAATCAGTAATATGCGATCGCAATCGCAGGAGCATTTATGTATTCTCTTAAAATGACGGACTCTTCTATCTTCGTCGTGCTTTTAGGAATCTCTAAATTGACTTAAATTGACTAACATGAAGGATATAGTTTTCGGTTACGACGAAATGAAAGAAAAAAAAAATGCGTGGCAACATCTTGATATCGCAATTCTTGATGGTCGGATTTCGCGCTGCGGTAATAGAGTCGAGAGGATCTACGGGAGAGTACTTCCAGCGGAATTCCATAAAATCACCAGTCCAGAAAGGATATTTGATCACACGGTATCCCTCTGCCGGCACGTCAAGCGGCAAATCAAGCCGCGGCGAGATTGCGCTCCCCCGAATGAACGTCCGTTCCTTCAACGTCAACGGAAACGCTCTTACGGTCGCACGACGAAGAAATCACGATTGTACGTACGGAGGGCAATTACCAGCAATTAACAATTCGATGAAAACACGTTGCGGTTGCACATATTAATCGTTCGCTCCAAATGTGCCTGAGGCAATTGAAACTTTCATATGAAAGTCTCACGCAATTTTCACTGTGTCTGCGAGCACATCAGGATGTATCGTTCAATATAGAACGATCTACGATTGCAATTTTCATGAATTACCGATTAACAAACGTATGATATTCTGAAAGTACACCTGCGATTTATATTAATATGTAAATCGAATGCGAGTGTATAATATAATTAATTAAATGGGCGAATTATTTAATTTAATTTTTTATGTAACCGTCGGCAATAAATTAAAACGCGTCACTCAAATATACCAATTTTCGTCAAAAAAATGTCAGATATTAAATACCAAACGTGATTACTTGAAAAAATTCAATCGCGCAGTAATACTTCGAAATAAATAAAACTTTCATGTACACGTAGTGTGTAATTTTTTATGGAAAGTAGAACACACAATATTTTCCCTTGAAGAAACCTTGAACCAAACGGTATCCCGAAAAATCTTATTGCAATCACAGAGCATGATTAACTTGCTTTTCAATTAATTATATCAGAAAATTTCCTCGATATCAATTCTATAAATAAAATTCTATAAATACATCACTCACAAACACAAAAATTTCCAATCAACCGAAATTCCGAGTGTCAAATACCCGATTTTATATCGATCGCGAAGAAAAATGTGCAAATTGATCGCCTGTGTGCGGATCATTAACTACAAACCGGAACGCTCATATCAGCCAGGCGTTAACGATCTATCAGTTTATCAGCTTTTCACGTCGCTTTTCCGGAACACGCCGTCCGGAAGAAATCTCGGGGTAATTAGGCGTTAAAAAGCACAATATTTCTGATCGCGATTATACAGGACGATTACCGAAACGTTGGTCGGACCGATAATTACCTTTCCGTGATTTTTAAAGCCCCTTCGGCGAACGGAACGAGACTGAGCGTCGTCGTTCAAACTGCGCGAGTCCGGTCCGCCACTTCGGCGCGCTTCTCGAGGGAGGCTCTCCTTCTCTCCGGCTCGTGAGAAGTTATACGTACGGACGGCGCGACAGCCGGTTGCTATGCCGTTCACAGGAGGATAGGGGACCGGCGGTGTGTGTCCTCCTCCCCTCGGAGTGTGTGTGTGTGTGTGTGAGTGTGTGTAAGTTACTGGCGAAGGGGCCCCGTCGCGCGTCGCGCCTTCCCTCTCGGTTAAGGTTCCCGGGCCCGCCGCGCCGGTGCCCGGTCCGCTTGTATTGCCCGCTTGCTCTTCACGAATGGAAGGATGGAGGAATACTAACGGTAAAAGTATGGCTGCTGCTGCGCTGACCACTTCGGGAGGGGGTTCAAGGACAGCCCCGGTTTGTTGGAATCAACTCGTCGCGTCCGTGGGTTCCGCGGCGCGGCGCATCGCCGCCGGACTCCCGAGAGATGCACGAGGCCCCCCTTTTATAAGCCGCGTCCGCGAACCGCGGCGGCGGGACTCGTTATCGCGTAACGATAATTATCGATAAACCCCGCATCTCTAACGCCGCGCGCCGGGGACGTACCGATAGATGAAGGAAGGCGCGAGGGGGTTGCTGTGCGTTCATGCGAGATAACGAACGCTTTTTCCCCCGAACTATGGATATTTCATCCCCAAAGTATACGTGCAATATCGGAAATTGAAATTGCGTTCCGCGAGCGGAATATCTTCTTCCTTGGAAAATATCGAGGATGTCATTTATAAAAGATACCATTTAAAAGATTTTATTACTTTTTTATCAATCGAAAGATTCGTTTTATTCGCGATAAAGTGTGAAAAAAATTGCGAGAAGAGTTGAGAACGCAACTCCTCTCGTTACTCGATCTTGAGCGCGGCGATTCGGACTTTCTCGTAAATTAAAAAAGTAACTCGAAGTTTACTTTTATTTAATGTATAAGATATAGTCAATTTTACTTTTAATAATTTTAATTTTAATAATTTTAATTTTTTGTCTAAAATTAGGAAATCAGTATATCTCGTTAGATAAAACTTTGAGCAGTTGTGTTAAACAATAAATGTTATTTAACGTAAGGATACTTTCCCCATGTAATCGGGGAAAGTAACACAAAACCACGTTAGTATCAAACAAACAAAAAAATAAAACGTACATAAAAATGCAGGTGTTAAGGCGTGATGCAATTTAAAACGGCCAAACGCGCATGAGTGCAAACATTTCTCCTATCTTGATTGAAAATGAGATCACGCTGTTTCTCGGGAAACCAATATCTCGTGCGAATTTATCTCTTGTATCCCAAATAATAATATAAATCATGTTTTATGATATCTTTACAACTTTTTTTATCGATAATCCGAAAGTTCTTAAGATTATATTAAGTCGATAATAATGTCATTGATAAATACTGCATTCGGAATACAATATAAATATATAATTGTACGAAAAATAAAAGTACAAATGGAAAAGAGCCGTTAAAAGCATTATCTTCGTTAATATATCGTAACAATTATATAAATGTCTATTTTTATTAATCCAACATTATTAAATGAACAATATAATTTAAGGTAAAAATAAAATCATACTCTTTTAGTCGGAATATTTAATTATTCCTATTTTCTACATTTTTTTAGTTCCAAAGTTAGTAAAGTTCTTAAGCGAAGTCGCATTCTCCGCCAAATAATGTGGTAAATCACGGCAATTTAATTAGTCAGCACGCATAAGATTGTTAGAGAAGATTGACACAGTGAAACGTGAATCAATCAACGACAATAAAGTCGAAGGGTCGAACCTTGACTTGACCGTCGCGTGGCGGCGTAATGCGAAACTGCTTCCGCTGTTTCTCCGGTTCCTTATAAGTCTCGAAGAATTTGAACTTGTTCGTAATTTCCGACGTTTCTACGTGGACCTCCTCGGTCGTGTCCGAGCTGCGCACCACATCGTCTGAGACTTGACGGCCCATGAACGCCTTTCTCGCAAACGTTTCGGAAGTTATCATTACTAGACGTTATTGACGTTGCGTGTGCGTTTTGCGAGAAACCTCACTCATCTCTCGTTTAAAAACAAGATACGCTTGCTTTCGAATAGCGAGCAATATCGCATAATAAGTAACAATATACAATAACAATCCATAATAAAAAATATGTTTTCCTTACTTCGAGTAGAAATTACATGAAATAAATACAATTTTTATTTAATCATTTGAAATTAATTTTAAAATTAATTTTTAAGTCACACAACTTATAAAATATAAAAGTTTTATGTCGTAATTTTAGCAGACAAATTCATGTCTCGATGATTTCAAAGATAAATCGTGAAACTCGATTTAATAAAATAAATATGTACAATAGACGAAAGAAATGGAACTTACGTCACGTGCACGTCGTGGAGTTTCGGTTGGCGTTTTTGGATGGACTGGCGTCACGGGACGTCCTGTTTTCGCTGCAGAGGCGTCCAGTTCCAAAAAGAGCGACCGTGACTTCCTGCTGATACCTGTGTGGCGTGACCAACATAGATTATCATAAATCACCCGTAACTTTAAACTGTCAATTAGCACAGGTGATACTTTCACTCTGCACGATTCGACAACTCATAACGGTCTATTTCTGCTCGGAACAAAAATAATTTCTCATACAAAGCCGCTGAATAATAATAAATATGACCTCTTAACACAGTCTTCTATTCTGTAGAGAGTTTTTGCGCGCAGCATCTCATATATTATAAGGAATACTAGGTTGCTTTCTTTCGAGTTTTTCTCGAAGGAGCTCTCAATGAGCGCAGATGTAAATATTAATATTTACAATTTTTAAGAATCCTTAATTTTTTAATAAAAATTATTAAGTGCCTTTATTCGTTAGCAACTACGGATAACTATTTATAGCTTTGAAACGCGGAACAACACAAACAACGAAAACACCTGTTACATCTTTGATTGCGACTGGACTCTCCTTATTATGCATTTTCAGGATAGTCACGTAATTCCTCTCCATTCCTATGTTCGTGATCGTAACGTGGCAAATATTCGATCAGACATTTCATCAGTCGAATCTATTTCGAGTTACCATCTCGGCGTTTATGTCTTTTCGCAATTCCTCTAAGTCTTCGGAACTCGCAAGTCACTTAATTGCTGAAAGTCCATTTCGTACCTGCTGCGATCACCTCCTCGTCGGCTTTCTCCGGTTTCGGTTTACTGTCAGTTTCATCGTCCGAGGCCGCGATTGGCTCGCCCCGTTCGAATCTCTCTTTGAGGGAACGAGCGTGGGCAGTCGAGTGCTGGATCTCCTCCGCCGCGTTTATCTTCGTAACGCGGTCGCTTCCGGCTACCGCCTGTTGATACATCTCCTTCATTTTACCCTGTTTGCCCTGCAAATTAGAGAAAGAGAGAAATGGCGCATTAGTTAAGAGCAATGTAAAGGGAAAATTATCTACAGTATTTAAAGAGCAGGTTTCTCCGAGGAAAAAAACTTGCCAAGAAGCGTTGCGCAAGAAACGTGCACAGCTGTTCTCTGACAGTTCAATTTATATTTTTACGATGTTACACGCGCAATAATAATAAAAAAGAGACAACTACCTATGTTAATATTAAAACCGTTATAAACTTTTTTTTTCATATCGCTAATCTATCATAAAATAATAATAACGAAACTTGCAGTCTTATTCTAATATTTTTCTCTATGGTTTCACAATGATAAATTACCAAGAATAATCGCGAGCGGATTCCTGCGATTTCTTCCTTCCTAGCCTCGCGCTGAACCTCGCGCCTTCCCTGTTGGCTGGTGGTCTCCCAACGATTCTTGATGTCGTCCATCTTCGAAAAACTGATCGGTCGTTCGCGCGTGGTGCGTTTTGACTTTACGATTTCGGTTTCCACTTCTAAAACGTCAAAGAAATAGATACGATTACAATACAATTTAACACAAAAGAAATTTTTATCAATAGAAGAATAAAATAACTCAAATTTAAGTTGAAAAATTGAACTAACGTGCATTCAACAGGTCTAGTAAATTTGTAGATTTTAATATTAGTAGTATTTTCTTGTTGACTTTACCTTCGGTTTCCTCCGTCTCCGCTTCGTCCTCACTTTCGCTGGATTCCTCGTAGGGTATGCCATTGAGAGATTCGTCCGCTACACCAATGTCCATGCCTTTTGCCTGAAATCTGGATGAGAAAAACGTGCACAGTACTTACGGACACTCCGCACGGACGGGCTCGCGCTATTACGCTTGTTATAACATATTTATTCCGTGTTTTCTCGAATTTCAAGTTACGAGAAGGAAACTACTGACTGCTGAATACCACGAAAACCTCACCCGTACCGGCTATACGTTAATCCGCAGACGAAGTAGATTAATAAAATTATCAACAAATATTCGAATTAATAATCGTTACGGTATAAACCTCGAAATTTTTTTTTTTTTTTTTTAAGATAAATACTCGTTATAAAAAATCATAAAATCATTTATGATTTTTCAATACATTTATAACAATATATTTATACGAGTGACAAAAGACGATTTCGCGATTATCGTTAGCAGCTATTAGTTATTACTTATTATAAGTGTTTTTTTTTCTTATACATTTTAATTACGCTCTTTTAGTCTAATTCTTCACGTAAAAAATAAACGCGATGGTAATTACGTTCTTCGCCATTACCGAGAAACGCCAATCCGGCGAAATTACAGGCTCATTATTGTATGTCTTCTGCAGAAGCAAATCTGTGTCACGATATATCATGTTTTAAAATTATTATCGCGGGGAGAACCGTATATTATCGAAAAAAGATGCGGCTTCACTTAAATACCTACCTAATATCTACATATATGCGAAAGTATAGTCGGCTAAATCTTAAAGATTTTTTTTATTACAATGATTTACAGTGTTTATACACCGCGTAAGGAATGCATTCTACAAAAATATATCACGAATTACTCACTTGGCCAGTTTGCTGAGAATACTCGGCGATCTCTTGACGGCGATCTGTGACGGCGATCGTTCGATCTCATTGGCGTTCTCCGTGCTGGCTTTCTCGAAGACCTGGAAGCGCGACTTGACGTTCAGGCTTGAGAGTTCCTCGAGTCCCAGATCGGGTTTGTCGGAAGCTGAAAATCAGAAGGAGATGTTCTAACTCGCGTCGCTGTTCAAACATTTCAACACGCTCTCTCTCTCTTTCTCTCTGACGGTAAACTTGTTAGACCACTCGGGAACGACGATTCGCGGAAAAAGCAAGGTTGCACACACGACACGAAAATTCTGAAAAGCGTCGAAGATAACGAAGAGGCATCAGTCTCGCTAAAAGGGACTCGTGTCAGGGAGAGAGAATCGAAAACCGATCCTCCCGATATGATAACGTTTCCAGGTCAAGCACGAGCCACAGCGTTCGGTTTCAAACATCGATCACGTTACGGGCTTTTACAAGCTTCTTACATTCTTCCCATGGACGTCGCGCCGCATACCACTGCGACGAGATACCACCCGGCTGTTCGCTTCTCCGGTGTTTGGCTCTCAAGAACCATCAGTATGTCGTATATAACGTAATAATTTCACGATATATAATATAAATGCTGATATCGCACATGATGTAGTGCGAAAGACGTTTACGTCCCTCATGGGAAATTTGTAGTGGTATCTATTTCTTCATTTCAATAATTTTGAACTATACTGTATACGACTCTCATATATTAGCGATAAATTTTTTAAAAGCTGAGTTAAATAAGATGAGAAAGACACATAGGCAGGCACAATACATATTAAAATATACAAAGGTAATTTTATACGTGAGTTTAATGTGCGTGAACTGTTAAGAGTATTAACACTGTCACTAGCCGAATTGGCCATCATTTTTTCATGCAGACAAAAAATTAATTTTAATATCGAGAACGGGATTATATATAATTACATTATACAGTAATTCTGTGGAATGCGTCAGTAACTCATGTCGCCCCGTAAGGTCCCGAGACAAACATGCCGACTAATGAAACGCCCGGTGTCAATAATGATTCGTGTCCCGTTTTATTAATCGGCACGCCAATGCGGGACACGTTACGCGATTCGATGCACAGATAAATTTTCGATTCAGCAGCCAATCAAACGGTTAAAAAGCCACTCGGCAAAATCGGAGCACACTCCGAGAGCGTTAGGAGCAATCGCCAGAATCGCGTTCCACGCCACTCACACACGTCGAACGTTGTTTGTTGCTGTTGTTACCTCTGACCACATCGGGCGGCAACTCTTTCGGCTCGTTCTCCCGTATGATCAGCTCCGGCTTTCGAGGTCGCACTGCGGAGTTCACAAGACAACTCTTTGTCGCATTAACGATACCTCTCATTCTCTCCGCGCGCCCGCGCGGACGCTTGCGCGCGTAATTATACGGGGGGAAGAGAAGAGAACTGTAATTCTAGCCCCTATGCTAAGGGGCTTAACGAACTGGGTCTTAGACGACCCACCGACGGCACTCGAGCCTCCTAAGTTATGCTGGCACATTAAAACAGCATTACACTGTATACCTAGATTTCTTGTACATACTATTGTCTTCATTATATGAAGAACCGAGCCATATTTCTTACATTTATCTCTACATCAAGGATGCAATTTTACTTCTAATTGCCTATAGTTGTACACATTCATTCTCTGACGTATATATATCGCGCTCTTAAAATAAAACGAGGGTTACACGTATATAATTATGACGAGCACCGTTGGAATTAATCAAGTGCGCCGTTAATCTCGACGCGAAAGAAATTTACGACCGATGACGCCGAGAGAGCGAATTTTATCTCTTCCAGTTTTCCCGTTGAAGCGTATTCGTGCGTCTTTATGCCTTCTCTTTAATACGTGCCGACCGAGGGTCGGCAGAGACTCGCTTTGTCCGCACAAAGTTCACCTCAGCCGAGAGATTAGAGGCGAGATGGAGTCGACGCGGTGGAATCGACGGTCGGCCGTTTAAGCGTTCGGCGTTAAGATTTAACGAGTAATTCGTAAAGACGATCCTTTTAAGCAGATTAGCGGCTGTAGCGCACGCCGGTATGCGTACGCGTACACGGTATTGCGCGGGATGGTAATCATCTTACCGGGCTGGTCGGACTCCTCGACCGGTTTCGGTTGGAAGAGCTCCTTGAAGTGTGGCTTACAGTAGAGCGTGCTCTCGTGGCTCTCATAATTGTCTACATTGAGCTGCTTGCTGCACTGCACGCACCGGAAGCAATTCTTGTGCCAGACCAGACCCTCGGCCTTTGTCTGCTCCATTTGGAACACGACCTTGCCGCAGCTGCGACAATTCGTATTCGCATCGGCATTCTGGCCCACCTGCAATGCACCAGTGCGCCAATTAATTAGCACCTTCGCGACTTTCACTCTCCTTCCCCTACGAAGAAGCGAGCGGACGACACTCTAGATCCGTCCATAGATTAAACGTGCGCCTTACGCAACACTCGAAATTTAAATGCCGAATTTAAACGCGATTTTAATTTAGAAAGAAAATAAAAGATTTTGTGAAATATTTTATTATTGGATGTGAAGTAATTTCATTAATGTCGTTAATTTAGTTTCTTCAAGTTACTTATTGTATCACAAATTACGATCGTTAAATAAATATTGTAGCGACAAATGCTTCGAGTTTAATAAGTAAAATAAAGAAAGACTTACGGCATTCAGCTGCTGTTGGACTTTCGCCGCATCGACCGAACGTACGTGAAGAACTGTCTTCTTCGTAAGAGCGTCGAATTTGTTAAAGCTTGATTTCTGTAAATACAAACAATGGTGATATCAGATAATAAGTACTACGAGTCAAGAAGTTGAGACAGAAGGAGGAAAAGAGAAGAAGATGCGAAAGTACGTTCCGCAGACAACATTTTCTCTAGCACTATCAACGGAGCAAGAACATTGTATTCTTCGGCAACCCTTTACTGTGAAAATAAAATAGCAAGCAGAAATAGGAGAAAAAATAAACAGACAAATCACCACCGTGCACAAATGAAGAACGTGCAAAATAGTTAAGGATTGTTCGCACGTATGATTGAGAAATAATTTTGATCAAAAAAAGGCAGTATTATTAAATAAATATTTAATAATACAACATTGTAAATTCCATTTTCGCACGTTCGTACGATTTCTGATTTGCACGAAAGTGGCATTTTCCGAGAAGAGATACACAGGTCGTACAAAGGTCTGAAAACGGGCAAAATCAATCGCAAACTAAGAAAGCGCAGCACATATTTCTCTTTCTGAGAGAGCAACAAAAGCAATAAAAGACAAAAGAAAAACTCGGGTCAAACCTCTGTACGAGCCGACCTTATCATGCTAAAGGTTCTATATCTGCCTCTTCCTCGTCGGAGTCTTACCTCGAGCTTCGGCTTCTCGCATGCCCGATCCTTGTCCTTACCCTCGTCCGTTAAGCTTGCCAAACTACAGTAGGAAGCCCTCTGTTCCCCCCCAGGGGGTCGATTTCAGTGATTGTCAATTTTAGGGTTTCGCATGCCGGGAGGAGAGCACGTAGCGTCGCGCAATAATGAGAAGAAATGGACCGCGGGTTAGTACGGTTCGGTGTAAAAACAGACACACACAGGCCGGTAAGCCGGTTATCGTATCTCAGAGGACGCAGCAGTTAGCAACATTCCGCATTTTACGGTGCTGTCGAACGACGCTGCCGGAAGTCGCGATCTGCGCATTGACAGAGGTATCCTTCAACGCGGATTGAAGACGAGCGTGCGTTCACGGAGGTGGAGAGACGACGACGGTGCCTGGGGCTAATATTTACTTTCGAGAAGTATCAATTTGTTTCCTTTTTCCAAGCCAGCGTTCCACCGTACACACTCGGCAAAACGTATGCATTATGTTCTCGAGTACGCGGCAGAAGGCGATTTTCCGCGAAGAATCGTCGGAGCCGGTTGCTGTACGTCTTTAATATCGCGGCGCGCAATATTAAAGACATCTGCTACGCGAAGCACAGCGTTGCTAATCGGTCTTTCCCTAATGCGATTGAATATACTGCATTCGCAGCCTGTTTCCCGCGTTGAATTATTTACGATTTCTTGCGAAGAAGCTTTAAAAAAAAAAAGAAGGAATCTTTCTTTAGCGTGGCAAACAAGAAAGTACGCTACTTTTGGCTCGCGTGGTATATACGCGTGAAGCGTTTTAATCGCTGATCGAAGCCTTGCCAACTGCTGCGTCGGACAAACCGAGGGAAAGGGGAACGAACAAAACGAAACGGACAAAGGACAACATTGGAAGTAGCACGGAATTATCCGTTGAATCACCTCGAGCGATCATCTCGCGTCACGAATTCACTCTTTATCTCGAATTGGCTTTGCTTTTGGCACCGTCACGCGTTATCAAGTGCATCAGAACGCATTCTTCGGCACAATCGTGAATGTTTAGTCGGTCAACAGTACCGATCCTTTCACGCAAATGCCTCGTTAATGCGATATTTCCATGCGGTATATAATGTTAATAATCAAATTATTGTATTACGTTTTTAGTAATTATTGAAAAAGAAAGAATTTTAATTTAAAATATCATCAATTCTGTGATCTTTGTTCATGAAATTGAAGCAAAACTTGTCAAATCACATCACGTTAAAATGACAAATATCGTACTTTAAACGCCGTTATTCAAATTCTAGAATCTTGATTTAATTAAAAAATATCAATGACTCGTTCATTATTTATTTATACATGCCATGCTTAATATTAGTTGTCTATTATTTTCTGCTTGTTTCGTCTCAGAAACGATTACAACTGTGTCTCAATTTTTGTTTCAACTAATTTGCCTCAATTTTGCGTATTCAAAATAAAAGTTTTGCAGTTCAGCGAGCGTTCATGGTTTCGATTCGTTAATTCGCAACTCGCGAAGAGATCCGACCCACATTTCCCGTTTCTCTCTCCATATTCGCGTTCGCGACCGAAAACGCGAAAAAGCGTATAAAATTCTAATAAGGTGCGCGTATCTCGAACGCTTCAAGATGTCCATCCCTCATCTCAGCGGGAGGCTAAGTCGCCACGTGAAAATCCCGATAGGTATAGTCGCGTGACCGATAATACGGAGCAAAAGAAACTCGTAATCGACATCCGGACCCTGGCGTTTCCTCGTAATCGGCTGAAGTAGGGCAAATAAGTAGTCTGTTATTATCAAGTCGGCCCTTCCATAAATGGAGAGACGGCATTCGCGGCGGCGCGTGACGGTAAACTACTCCGGCATACGTGCCGGCGAGTTCTCAGAGTGCGTAGCGGTGTACTTGACCGAGCGTTTATTTCGAAGAATGTTATTCGAATATTTTTATCAAGATTATTTTACGCTTTTCCTATATTTTTTTTCTTACAATAAAATTTTCGAAAACAATTGTCATTTTTACGCGGACAACCACGGCAACACGAACGTTATAAGTATATGTACTGGTCGAACGCAACGTCGAGTTGCCTCGAACGTTGCGTTTGCCTCGCTTTATATATTCGCGATTAATGCAAGCACGGTAAATGCGTAATCGGCCGCCTCCAGGTACCGTATAGGATAGAGAACAATTACACCGCCCACCCCGAGAGGCTCCATAGATCGTTACTCCCGAGTATAGAAATTGCCGATCGCGAACTTTGATAAAATTCTAGTTTCATTAGACCGGGCTTTATCCAACGTTATATTCCATTCGCTCGACTGACTTCAATGTTGTCCGTGCCGTTTACGAGAGGTACTTACGAGGGCCTTGACCGACACCCTGGCGAAGACGGGTGCGTCTCTGCTGAACCGCGAGTAACCCTGCTCACATACTCTCAGATCACCCATCGACCTCGCCTTCTACGATCGGGGCGAGAGAGCGTCAACGAGAATACAAATTAGCGGTGAGTCGTTTCGAGAGACGCGAGCTCTGTGAAATATCGATCGCAAAGCGATAACGGAGCCGTGTCTTATCAAAGAAAGATTCGCGATAATCGACGTTAGAGGTTCTTGAAAAGTCGCCGATAAAAATACGATACCGCATTACTGCACGCGATTTCTCAAAGTCCTTAATTTTTAATTGCCACGAGACTTCGTAATATCGTTTGATGTAACGTTAATTGAAATAACGAGGCTGCGCTTTATCGAAAGTGTTATTATCACGCGTAAGAAGATAAAAATACCTTCGGCAGAAAATATTTATGCTATTATTAGAAATTTGTGTCACAGAACTCGCGCTCCAGATGCGATTAGTATACTATCGAGATGTTTGTTTGCTTGGAATTAATGTAATATTGTCGCCACAAATTATGAAGCAAATATCGAAAGTGGCTCATGCAATAACAAAGGTTACGAAGATGCGTTTCTCATTCCCGTCATACACGCCGGAAATTAATTTGCAACAACGTTAATAGGCATTCGCATGCTTGCAAATTTTGTCTAAGCGGCGATAATTGACCTTCTTACTTTACTACCATGAAAGAAATTGCAAACGAATAAGAATGCTAATTGTTAAAATTTGCAAAATAATGCAAACTATGAATGAAAATTTATTCATATACGCATATCGAGAAAACGCGGCTTCTGTTCTTCAAAATAACTATTCATAAAAAAATCTATCTTCTATCTTTGAAAAGAATTTCATCATTTTCTCAAATATAATTGTAAGATTATTATTTCTCATTGCGTGGAAATAGATTTTTAATTTAAATTAGAAATAAACATTAGCCAAAATTTGCACGACTGTTATAACATCACTTTCAACTACATCGACCAGGAAAACGACAAACACGAGAGGCATTCGCGATGCGTGTGCGTGTGTTTCTGCGCACGAATTAGTACAATATTAGTACAAACCTCCTCGGTTTCCATCGCGTGGCTCGCTTTCCCGAAGGTCGCCTGATCGCCGTCGCTCATGTTCGAGATGTCGCCAAAGCTGCGACACTGTTAGTGACAAAATATGTATCTGACAAATGTATCGGCTATTAACGAAGCGGATTTTGCGGGCGTAAGCGTATACGTTATTATTAAATCGGTATCTCATCGATCGTGAAAAACCGAGGCCGTCTTTCCGACTCTCTCTATACGTGCATGGTGGGGGAAAGACCACGACGGAAAGTAATTGACGACACTATCCGGCGTGTGTTTCTTCACGTGTGTGTCTCGTTTCACTGCAAACGCGATCGAGCCAGGCTACATGGTTATTACTTACTAATTGCTTGATGGATACGCCAGTCGCGATCCGCTCCCTGCGCAACTTCTCCTGATCGCTACGACTCGTCTCCGAGACATAGTTCTGTGTCTGCATGCGCAAAAAGAAGAAGAACAAAAATGCAGGCGGGTCAGTATAGCATGCATTATGCGGGTACATTCGGGGCATTTTTATACGCGGTCTTACGCGATCGCGAGATTACAATTACGCGAGGTGTAAATTTTCGCGGGATATTTATTTCATTAAATGATACGTTAATACCGATCGTCACACGTGTAATTCGCTCGAATTTGCTTCAACGGGGAAAATATACTTCTTCACCTCGTGAAATGGATATGAAACTTTTCCCCGTCGTATATCAACTTTGTTACACTTACTCCAATAAAAGCGCAAATTTTAGCGTTCGCTGGGTCACGCTCGCGCGACAGCAAAGTTACGCACGCAATTCTCGAAAGTAACAACGTAATTTCGTCGGCGAGCTTAATCAAACAGCGCAGGTAACGTTTAATTGCTTAATGGAGCGATTGTACGCCTGCTGCGCCCGCCGTTAATTATTTAGAACCGCGCGCTAGCCGTTCTCTCGCATCTAGTGGATCACGAGGTGAGTGGCCGGAATGGGATAAATCTCTCTATTCGCCCCGTCTATTCATCTCGTCGGCCGAGAAACGAAGTCAGACGAAAATGGTACTTGCATCTCGCATAAATGCTATACGCGTGAAACAGCTCGTCGTCGCTGGGAAACAGAGCTGTGCCGAGAGAAGTGAGGGAAACGGAGAAGAAAAAGGAATGTCTGAGAAACACACAGGGCGTTCCGCAAGATCTGTCTTAAATGTCAAAAGTGCTCCTTTATACACGTTGAATTCTATGTTAACTCCCTGATAATTTAAACGTGAGCCATATCATACCAAAGATTTAATTTCCAAAGAGCGTAATGTATCATTAATAAAATTGGATTGAGGCCAAAGGTTGAGAATTAAATTACGTTCCGAACTGTAATTATATATGGAGTAAATAATTTGTGATTAATTTCTCAGATACGTACGCTTCAGCGCAACTTACCAATGACTTAACATTGACGTTCGATAAATCGTCCTCGTCGGAAAAATCGATCATCTCCGAATGCGATCGCCGAGTGCCCGTATGCATGCTTGCGTCTCGTAAGCTACAGTTCTGATGGAAAAACAAAAGAAACACGAACACACTGAGCATGCAACTGCATGAGAGATTAATAAGCTGCGTCTACGCTATAACTTGCGCCGAGCCGTTAGTCGCGTATAATAATCAAAGTACGATAATCATAGGCAGAAATAAAATTATTACACGCTCGAATTTCCACATTTCGTTCACGACGCATTCTGAACAATTCGACTTTCAGAAATGCACTCAAAGAGACACTTCAATATCCCTCTTTCGTTTACAAATTTTTTTGATCGATCGATATTTATTTTATCTCGCATTAACGGATATATCAAGCTTTTTTTTTTTATAAAAATATATATAATTTGCTACACGATCTCGTCCGCACAGACGTCCGCGCGTAACTGGATATTATACAGAAACGTATTAACTCAAATAAAACAGAGATATCGCACATTTCAAACGTAATCTATATTTACACGATAAACACTGTAATACGTTAATGGACAAATGTGATAATAACATAATGATAGGCATGGACTTAACGTTTCTCTTCTTCGTTTAGCCAATTGGAGTGTCAAATATATTATTTAATAAAATATAATATCCAATCATCTTTTTTTTTTCTACCGACGTTAACATCATAAAGGAACATTCTCGGAACGGAAGTAAAAGCTCCACTGTGTAGCTTGTTAGCTGTAATTGCGCGCGCGGAGGACGAGCCCCGCAAAAAGGAAACGTCGCAATCTCGATCGATATCGTCCGCGCTCCACTTAATAGCGTTTCGATATCGGTCGCGATCGCGTATCAGATCCCCCGATTCCGAGAAGAGTGTCAGACGGTAGAAAACTCGCTCCTATCTGTGCCGGACAAAATCCGGAAAAGCCGGCGGCATGCATGCAGATGAGATACCAAAAGTGCGAGCTTCCGGTTTTCACCAACGCGATGTCGCTTTTACCGGGCACAAAGTGATAATTAGCGTGATAATCGGTTCCGCGCACCGTGATTTCGTACCCGCGCATCTCGCACACATGTACGTCGGAGTATACCGTCCTCAATTATATCTTCCGAGAATAGCGGCCGGTAACCGGCGTTCACTGGTTGAAAAGTCGCGGTTGACACATATACGTCTTGCCGATGATCAATACAGAACGTAGCAAATTAGTAGATACGGTACAGTCGCGCGACGCAGGATGTGTCCCAGAACAAATTGTCGATTTTGTTCAGCGATCCTTTTACCAATTTGATAAATCGTTTTCAACGGAAAAGACCGATAACAACGACGGGGCTTCCACAACGTGTCTCTAATAGTCCAATTCTTTCGATTAATATCACGTGGAGTTTAATTCGACGGAAACTTTTCAATTTGACATACCCTATGAAATGTTCATCCGGGCGAGAGCGACGCTACGACGATTAGAGAACCACGTATACCGGTGAAAGGATAGCTGCGGGACATCCCGCGCGCGCACACGTGCGCGTCTATCAAAACGAGATTTATAACTCACCACGGAGATGTTCTCCTTCTCGAGATCGTTCTTCTTGCTCTTCTTGGTTTTCTTTGTGCGCGGCGTAAGGTTCGGCGAGGTGGCATCGTTTCCAGCGACGCCCTCGATCTTCTTCTTCTTCGTTTTGGTCCCGCCCTTCGAGGAGGTCACCACGGCGGAACTTGTGGTCACCGTTTCCTCGCGGCTCTCGCTCTGCGACGGGAAAGAAAAAAAAAATACATATAAGTATGTTAAACTGGAAAAATTTTTTATACAACGCCGGCGTCAAGATCTCCCGCGTCTAGAACGATTAAAGTGGACGCTCAGGTGATTTCTCCATGACAGGAGTGTCTCTTTTGCGAACTGACGTGGGCGAGCACGCGGGTCTTCAGGAAAGGAATACAGACGCCGGAGAACTAGATTTCAGCGTGCGCCATTGTGCCGCTGCACACTGGGACTCAATGGTCTTTATTGCGCACGCCGGGATAGGTGAAACGCGGTCTCTGCGGTCCGACACGGAAGTTTACGTTCCCTTAACGAACATGATTTGCAAGCAATAATATCGATTTCACGGTGCGGTAACGCGATATTCCCGTCGAATGTAAAAGTACGGCAGTGAAGAGAGTAACATTAGCGCGCTCCATCAGGTTATCTTCGCCTTTCTGACGTTCAGCCGACGTTCTTCACTGTGGAAGATAAATCTTCATCGTCTTTTCACGCGCAAAAGAATTTTTGCGAGATCTATTTCCCGTTCGACGCGCGCGTACAACCTCGGTTATTAAACTGTTATGGATTAAACGTGTGGAAAACGAGAGGTAGATTGATGTAAATCAGAAAGCGTGCTGAAGAAGTAATAAATTAAGTCGCATGGGTTTTGCTAACGGCACGGTCGATCAAGTTTTCGACAATTTCACGGTAAAATAAAAATTGATCGTTTCCTTTTGCGTTACGAAACAGATTGCCGCTCCAAAATCCGTTCCGACACATCGCGCACTTCATTCCCGTTTCGTTTCCAACGCTCGGAATCATTCTCGTCATTCGAAACGTACGTGAGCGTGCATAACGCGATCATCCGCACGTTAGAAAGGCAAGATTTCAAACGGAATATTTGTTTAACCGCGCACGGCTTCGTCCGCGAGCGAAACTATAGCCCCGATATCGCACGCGGCAATTAAAACGTCGTTCGCCTACGTGATTCTCGGCCCGACTCATAATTGTCCGGCTGGTAATAATCCGTGCCTCGCGTTTATGATAACGCGATATGAGGTAACGGAATAATTACCCAGGAGAATAATGCGAGACACGAGTGCGAACGAAGAATGAGAAATGGTGGATTGTAAAAATTGGAATTACAAATTAGAGAAGCGAAAAACGTGTTTTCTTCCAGCGTCTTCGTCAAGCACTTGGCTTAACTTCAATCCGTTCGGAACGCGAAAGCAACGGCACGTTTCGGGCGCGGGTATCGGAGACAACTGATAAGAGCGGAGTTTTTCATGGCCCCAACGATTTATACGCGATGGCGTAATTGCTCGATAGGTATGGCCGTCCGACAAGGAAGATTTCCGATAAGCCGCGCGCGCGGAAAGCAATATTCCGGAACGGAATATGAGCTATATGCGAGCGTAGCGCAATGCGCGACATAATGCGCACCGACGCAATCTCGACGTTTGACTATTAATTATCCAGCGTCGGGCTATCGGCACGACGCGATTACGTCACTATCCAAAATTAACAAATGCAAACGATAATTAGATGAAAAGTATAAAGGCCGAATATGCTAAATGATTTTTATTCGGAATGCTCCGAATGAGTCGAAGATATTTTATTAATTAAATTAGATGAATTCTTTCGACGAATGTCTACGATAAACTTTTGTTTAACGAGGAAGATGAAAAATACGATAAGTCGGTGAGACTTCTCTCTCTCTCTCTCTCTCTCTCATTGAATTTTAAATATTTATTTTAAATATTTAACAAAGAATTTTAAAACGACTTTGCGCGAAACGTGCTCTGTAAATCACCGCTTGAGAATAATCCTGGCACACTTCCCAATCCTCTCTCAAGGTCCTTCCGAACAAATGGAGCTCGTAACAATTTTCTCTGCGACCACCGGCAGTTTACGGCACTCCAGCCATACTTACACACTCTCTATCCGATAGCACAAAAGCGAGGTTTCGAGTCTACGCTACCTCGATTATATTCGCCTTGTCTCGAGAAACCGGAAGACGGTCGCTTCCGACGCGTTCTCCACGGCACTTTGCCGAGAACTTTCTCGTGAAAGCAATCCCGATCACATCACCACCAGTTCCACAGCTTATATCACTCCAAACACACACGACTCGGACCTTTTTCCTACGGATTTATCCGAGCAGCCTCTAGCACCGGCACCGGCCACGCACTCAGAATGACGAACGCGCGTCCACCTTGGCAACGGGGTCGACGAAAGCCGACGAAGGCCAGAAGGAGAAAGAAAGAGCCGCCGGAGCTTCGAGCGCGAACGAGATGGTCGGCGACCAAAGAGCGAGAGTGGGAGCAACGTGGAAAGAAAGACAGAGAGAAAGAGGGAAGGAGAGGGAGAAGGAGAGAGAAATAAGAAGAATACAAGGAGAGACTGAAGGAAAAAAAGGCGAATGTTCTTGTTCAACGACCGTGTCGTCTGGTGCGCACACCTCCCCCGCTCGCACTCAGGTTTATCGCGACCCTGGGCACACCAGTGGATGGATCAAGCCGATCGTCGTCCAGGTCGTACCTGATCGATGATCATCCTCGAGCTCGCTCCTCGGGACGTGAACGAAACAACCGCGCTGCGTGGCGCCGCAGAGATGTCTGAGGTGCCGTGGCTTCTTCCTCCGCCGAGGAGAGCGTTGCGTCTCGTAACGGGTTCAGGAAACTCGATGCTCTCCAAAGCGTGGCACGCAGCGCGCCGCGGCGCCGACGATTGGCCGTTTCCACCGGGCACGTGGAGCCGGTTGGCCAGGTAAGAGAACTTGGGTTTCTGCTGCTCGGCGAGCAGAACCGTGGCCGTGGCCGAGGAATGTTCCAGGGGGAAGCGACCGACGAGGATCGTTGGACGCCGTTAAGAGGTTGCGCGTGGCGTACAAGATCGACTTTGACGCGACCTCGATCTTGGTCAGCCCTTAAACCAGCGACATCTGAGCGAGTGGCCTTGGCAGCCTCGCTCTCCGAGGGAGCTCGATTAATTTTTCTTAATATCGCAAATAATATAGTTTCAAGATCTAATTTTCCAGGCACGAGTCGACGTCGAGTATAAGATAATTGTTTACGCGGATATATGATCGCTGATTGTTCCGTTTTAAATTCTTTCCGCCGTTCACCATGCCGGCAGTAAAATTAATCACGAAAAACGGCCATTATATCTCTCCTTAAATCTACGCCGTATTTACAGATAATGAAGGTAGAAACCGCAAGGAAGTAAATGGCTTACAGATATAATTATCAAGCTCAGCAGACTGCTCGGAATACGGAACGTAGTTTTAAGAGACTGTTGCCAATTAAGGATTAAACAGCGTCTCGAGCTTTTAGGGGAATTAAGTGTCCTCCCTTTCAGTTTCGAGTGCCACGAATGCCGTGCCGTCGCGTTACAAGCGCGCGAGTTGATACGAAATTCATGGCGATAAGCCGGCTTCCGTTGTGACTGCGGGTCTCGCATTTGCATGAGATTTGTAGCGTGAGCGATCGTCACGCGCTGCTGATCGTATAGAAGGGTGTACCTTCGAGGGTATCGAGGAGATAAAGGTAGATAATACACGTTCGCGTTTTGCGAGTAATGAGTTGTTGCGAAAGGCACGTCAAGTAACGTCGAGAGATAGTGATTGCGCATAAATACCATACGCGAAAATAGATGGACACAATATCGTAAGAAAGGGGAGAATCAATTATTAAACTCTCATTCGGACTCGTATTTGTTCTTGATCATTCGAGATACAAGGGTCGGAAGGTTCGAATCGAATCGAATAAATCGACAATGTTGACGTATATTCCTTTAGCGCGATTTGCGCTGCTATAAATAGTAAGAAGGACATAAATTCACTAAACTTGGCGCATCCATACCGCGGATTATGCGAGTACCCGCGGGCACTCGCGAGAATCCCTTACCTGGAGGCTCCGGCTGTTAAGAGGAAGAAAAAAGGATAAACGAGATTAATCGCCCCTAACGTGTAAAAACATGCGTAGGAGTTACATAGAGCGATGGCGCAATTAGTCTTGCAGAAACTGCTAGGAGGATCGGATCCACAATGCGCTCGCAGGAATTATCCGACGCAAGCAACAACCTGAACGCTGTTAAGTTATAACGCTTGTATTTCTCTTGCGCAACGTGCGGAATATGAGTGCGCCCGAGAGAGACGCGGTTTCTACGCCGAACGTTTCGCAGCTTTACGTCACAAGCGCGAAGCAACCCTATCGATATCGAGGTACGTAAATTATATAATCTGAATTATGTGTAAAGTCAGAACTTTACGACGTTATTTGGAATTATATACACCGCGGGGATTTGATCGGCAATTCTAATGATAAGCAATACCACACAAGAAACGATTAATTTTTTAAGGGCTGCGCAACGACGTCACTCGCGACGTTGGCAAAAACGCAGCAAATCAAGCATTAATTATTTCGATGAGTCGTAAGAACAATTGTTACTCCTACCTGTACGAACGAGTGCGACGACTCGAAGGAAAGTGCTCGTGCTCTCATTCGAGGCTGTGAATTTTCTCAACGCTTCATGAGAAATGTTACACGTTGTTGTACACGTCATCGTCACGAAGCTTACGGTAGTCGGTAATGACATATCGTTAATTAATTGAAAATAGTCGCGAGTGCGAGGTTTCGATTTATGCAGACGCGAAAACGAGACCCTATACCCTATCGGTTTTTTTTTTCGAGTCTTTCCTTCGGGTCGGTTTCTCCGTCGCAGGCACATCCGAGTTAATTCACGAAAAAAGCACACTTACGTCGCAGGCGTTAGAAACATCGCTCGTCTCCGTCTCGTCCGGGGTGGCCAGGGGCGCGCGGGGGGACGAGGGTGCGAGGCAATCGTCTTGCTTCCCCTCGTTGTCGCCCCACGTCGCGTCGTTAACGTCACCGCCGCGTTCCGCCGCGGTCGGCACGTCTCTTTCGCCCGGCGATTTCGTGGCCTCCTCGACCGTGGTCCACGAGTCGAGATTCCCGATCTGCCCGGCGACGAGCTGCCTCGTCTCCGAGAAGATCGTCACGCTCGTGTCCGACACCACGACCTCGGTCTTCTCGATGAAGGTCGAGTCCGACGCCGAGAACTCGCTCGAGGACTCGTCCACCGGATTCTGCGTGTCCTCCGCTACGGGACACTCCGGCGAACTTTCGTTCTCCAGGATCGATTCCGACGTTGCCTGCGATTCGGTGATCTCCGACGTCACCACGATCTGCGGTGTCTCGTGATCGGATTCCTCGTTCAGCACGCGGCGTTCCGTGTCGAGGAATTCCTGCGTGCTGGCCGTCTCCGCGGACATCTCGGACTGGCTGATGACGCCGTCGTCGGAGAGACGGGAGTCCTCCAGCTTCGAGTCGGCCTCTTCGAGCGTTTCGGAGGGCGACGATTTGTCCCGGCGGATCAGCGACCCCGGAATCTCCTCTTCCTCGACACGAGGGTCTCCGTAGGAATCATTAAGTATGTCGATATGTTCGTTTGTGGAAGATTCTTCGTTCGTCGACGGGGATTTCTGCTCCTCGAGGCTTCGATCCTGCGAATAAGGCGCCTCGTCGAAGTTGTCGGAGAACTGACCGGCCTGCTGGCCGTCTGAAAGTGGCGCCTGCTCGATCCACGTGTCCGGAACATCGACGTCCGCGTTCTTCCTTTCCTGCTCGACATCGGTGCGAAGCAGATCCGTGTCATCTGCCATCTTCTGCACCAGTTCCTCCTCCCGTTGGTACTTGTCCACGGGACAACTCGCGGGAATCGGGAAAGATTGGGAGCTCGGTCCGTCTACGAGATCGCTCGTGACATTGCTAGAATCTGGATCATCCGTGGGAGGTACGACTTCCTTGACGATCGCCCGACACTCGCTGTCGTTGCTAACGTCGACGACTTCGTCGCGGCTCGACTCCTGATCGCTTTCGTTCGTTTTCTGAATAATTATCGGCGCAACGCCGGCTTCCGGCTGCTCGACGAACGCCTGATCCTCTTCCTCGTCGTGGAAGCGCACCGGTTCTGGCTTCACGACCTCGACGTCGACGTGTGGAGACACATGACCGTTTCGATGGCCGTACGGTTCCTCGATCAAGGAATAATGTTCGCTCTCGGCCGCTATGAACCCCGCGTTAACGTCGACGGGATCCTGCCGGCGGTCCAGGACGATCCTCTTGATCGTCTCCGGTTGGGTGACGACATTCTCGGTTTCCTCGACGGCTTCGTCGTCGGTGCTGCTCGAGCAGATCCTCAGCGCCAGCTCGCTCTCTATCAACTCCTGCAGGCTCTTGTCGTCGCCCTCGAGCTCGTTACGCGTATTGTTTGTGAGTACAAGATCGTCGTCGTCGTCGCACAACGAGATTAGTTGGGTGTTACTCGCGGTTAGATCATCCAAATCAATCAAACCGTTGTTAGACTGAACACCGCACACCTCGCTCTTCTTGCTACTTACTACATTGATCGACTTCTTCGTCGCCACCTCCGCCATCGTGGTTCCTCGTGCGATCACACCGTGGATACCTGGAAGGAGTTTTCGATCGTTTTAGATCAAGGAGATTAGGATCATTTAGAATGTAATTTAAAATGCGCATTTTAATACACTTAAGCGGCGCTGAGGCGCAAATCAGAGACACCTCTTGAAAAATGTTAATGCGATAATCTTATTAATTTCTTTTATATTTCAATACTTTAATACTTTTATAAGAAATAAACTGGAGTGATAAGAAAATGAGCTCTTTTTTTATCTCTCTCTTTCTCTCTCTCTCTCAATCTCTTTTCCCTTTCTCGCACGCGCAAAAAAGAGCGTATGAACTTATAGGTGACTGCGGATCAATACAGAGATGAAACTGGGCAACGGGAACGCGAAATGTAGGATCGATAAATAACACTTATGAGTAACCGGTTTCCCTATGTAATTTCGAGCTAGAAAGTGCAAGATGAAATAAAAATTCTTCGGGACTCGCTACCATGGAACGAAAAAATATATAAGAAGCTGCGTGTCAAATTAACGTAATAAAATAAATTTACGTTTTAATTGATGTAATAAAAGCGACGTTTATTTCGATGAGACGAAATTTTTCTCATATTAAAGCACAAAAATACGATACGACGGTATTCTCATAAAAAATAAATTATATGTATTAATATCAAGGTCAACTTCGTAAAAGAATTTTTACGCGACCAAAATTCTCCAAAATAGAATTTATATTTTATATTTAAATACTTTGGAATATTGATTTGGATTTTGTAATACTTGTGATTTTTCTAATCAATCGCTGCAATGGTCTCACGGCGATTTATATCTCAAATATAATCCGTTTTCTATTCGACATATAACATGAGCCTATATGAATGCGATCTCCTCGACCCCCGTACTTGACTTTCTCCGTATCGATGTGCAAGGGAAGCTCTTCAGGTACGCGTATGGCAAACCATCTGCCACTCAATGAAGTAGCGCCGGTTTATGGTTATGCAAAATAAAGCCCGCGCAAGTAGTCGTGCAAGATCACGGTCGAACGGATATATAACGTTCCTGTTAGGCAACTTCTGGCCGGTCCAATAAGACTCGATGAAATTTGTTACCGCAATATTTTGACGCGATTAATTCTTCGGGCGATGATACACATCGTCGAAATTACGGGGGATATATCATTTGGCGAAAAAAAAAAAACAATAAGCGCAGCGTGAATGCCTACACGTTTTTTCATTGCGCCCGTCCATTAAATTTGCATGAAAAACCATGTAAGAAATTAAAAAAGTAAGTCAGATACGCAGAAAAATTGAAGTATATTATAATTTATCGTAGACATCAAGTTTTTTTAAATTGTTTCCTAAGGATATTTGTAATCTGTTAAACGTTTTGCAAATAATGGACATGCAACAATTTTCTTTTCGTTAGCTCTTTAACAGCTTCATATTCTGGAGCATCGTATTTTCGGAGCGCCGTTACTACATTTAGTACGCATCTCGTGCGCACTGTGTGCTCTCGAGAGTCGCCGGCCCCGCTTACGAAATCGCGGAAACCGTCGCGATGGAATGCGTGCCGTCTTAATATTCTCATACGCGGATGTGCGGGCACCAAGACGCATCAGGAGCACCAAGTCCCTCGCGATATTAACGGAAGTTACGCCTCTGTAGAACTCGGTCGTGACTGCAGACCCCAGTGTTGTTGGCCGGCAAGCCAACCCTCCTATTATTAGCCATTCCGCAACGTCGCGTTCTAAGCTTCTGCGACGGAATGCACTTTCAAAATATGAAATTCAAAACTTTTGAAGAATACTCATAGATGAAAAGTCGCTATATTTATAACCGCTCTTATTCGGCGTTAAATATTTCAATAAACAAATCTTACAAATCCCAAATCGAGATTTCATCGAAGATAAGTGGATGCAACAGTTTCACTGTCTAAAAATGAAATTCCTCGTTCTCAGCTCAATTAATTAAAAGATTATTCGGGCTAATTCGGGTTGCACGTCGTGGCCGAATTAAAAATAGAAAACAATCTTAGCAAAGGTATGACGCCTCGCGCCTTATTTACGTCGTAAATAAGGTTTTATTTTAATCACCGTATCTTCCTTCTCGGCCGCTTCTCTCGGGCGTAACTCCCTCGCGGTAATTTGACAAATTCCAGCGCCGCGTACACACATCCCCGGCCGTAAGAGTTTATAAACAGAGGGGGCACGATGGCCGATCCCCGATCACGTCGTAAACCGACGCGATGTGGAGGGTTCAAATTTAGAAAGTGACGAGCGATTCCGCGCGTTTTCGCCGCGCCCGCTTCTCGGTTTCTCTTCGTTTTTCGAGGCAGCGCGATACCCGAAATCGCGAGCGAAATTTTTAAGGCTCGCTGCGCGTTCGCGTTCGCAGTATCGCGCTTCGAGTCTCTTTCGCGCTGTTTAATTTAATCTCCCTCCCCGGCCGCGTCGTTCTCCCGCGCGATTCTATCTCGCCTTTTCTCCTCCTCTTAACGTTCTCTCGTCTAACCCGCTCTCTCCTTCTCCCTTTCTCTCCCTCGTTCGTTTCTCTTTACCCGACGTTTCACCGAGGTCGTTCCTCGGGTTCACGACCGAGACTATGGAGGTGCTCTTTCCATCTCTCTCATTCTCCTTCGACGTCTCGCTCGCTTCTTCTGCCTCTTCGTGCCTCCACTCTCCTTCTGCCGTCCCTGCCACCTCTCGTTCTCTCGCGTCTTAGCTTCCCTCTCATTTCAACCTCTCTCTATTTTTAGAATGACACACTACCGCGATTCAAAGACGCGCGCTGGACGCATCGTGTACTCGTCCACGGAAAATGTTCTGCCCAAATGCGGCGAGCGAACGAGAGTGAGCGTTATGGGAAGCGGAGGAGAAAGAGAAAGAGGGAGAACGGGGGGAGGGGCAACGAGCCGAGAGAATTTTTTCTCTCTTAGGTCAAACGACAGGTGCACACAATATGCACCCCGCTGCGCTGTAAGGTCGAGTCGTAACCCTCGTACAAGTTGCAGAAAAGTGAAACTCAAGTGAAGTCGCCATCAGAGCGAATCTAAGGTGAGCGGGGTTTAAAAAGTCAAGAAAACTCCAGGGAAGAAAGACCCTGCGAAAAAATACGGATAACAAAATCTCGCGAGAGTTCAACACTTAATTATTAAATTCGAGAGACTCAAACTTAATTATTAAATTATTTCAAAATGATTGATCGAAAAGAAGATTATCACATTCAAAGTCTCATTGGAGAAGATTTAATCGCGTGTTTCGAGAGTTCCTATTTTAATTATAACTTAGATACCCTCTGTACATATAAAAGTCATAAGAACTTTGTGTAGCGTCACGCTAAAATGAAAGATAATTGACCACGCGATCGAATTATGTGTTGGGTATATCTCTCGTAAAAGTCCAGGACTTCGCGACGTGCGTTTCACGATGAGACAAAAGAAGACACGAAGAGACGGCGAATACAACCGCGCAACAACGCGAATCACCGTAATAAATAGAGGCTTGTTCACGCAATTAAACTCCATCAAGAAAAATGCCTCGGCGTCGTTGAGGCCGCGGTCCAAATAGCTGAATCTCGTATCGGCTCCGTGCTTCGCCGCTCGAGAATCGACACGAGCCGATGATCGCACGCGATGATATACAGCATATACCGTTGTCCCTTTTCGTGGCCATTTAAAATGTTGCAATCGCATTATGTTAGAAGCGCGCTCCGCTAAGTATACCTTCGAGCGCATACCGATTCTACGGCGCGCGCGTGATAGAGCCGTTGGAGAAACGCGATGTTATATGCGTTCGTAAGAACACCCACCGTTCGTACACTCGCGATTTTCCGTGCGCCTGCTGCGGAATTAAATTCTCGAACGGTACCGAGAACCCGCGCACTTAAATACCGAACGCGGCCAATGAGATAATGAGGAAGATTACTTTCGGTAAAGTTCACCAACAGAGGTTTTGTTCAGGTGCTGTTGAAAACATTTCTAGCCGATGCACTCGCGAAGAATAAATGGACAACATTTTAAATGCTAATTAGATCTCTAAACTAGATTTTAAATGTTTTCAGATCTTTCAAATTAGTGCGAAAACAACAACTATTTATGTCCCAGTTAACTCGTATATTTCATTTGACGAGTAATAAATAAAAGCCGGATAGACCGCGTTCCCTTCATTTGCAAATGAGACGTCGCGGGATTGTCTTATTGTTAGTCATTTAAATCCACTAACTCGGTATAATGTGAATCGCGCGAGGTGCTAGGTGAAAACAGCGGCGATTAATCTAAACGATGTGATTTAAGGAGCCACGCAAAACGCGGTGTACCGCCTGTGCGAGGAATCATCGTGTCATGACTACGAACCCCGTGTCCTACGGAGATGTAATAGCTTTCCGACCGTGATCAATAATGTAAATTTTACTTCTCCGCTTCATCCAGAAAGTGATGAATAATGTAGACGCTCTCCACTGACCGGATTGATCGTGACAGGCCTTCATCTCGATTACGTTTTACCGTCGGGATAACATCGCGCCAGTGTACAGTGATTCGATCTCCGACGATGCTGCGCTGTTTTACATATCCGTGTCAAATTAGAACACGCAGGTCATCGAATAACCGAGCTAGCTACCTGCGCATTTTCTTATTCGACCGCTTTCGATTTCTCCAGACGAACGAAAACACTTCGATAAATTAATTAGCGAAATATTTCGGATATTTCCAGTAATATCAGTTGCGGTACATTTTATGATTTTTCTAATAAAAAAATGTATCTAACAAATAACAATAAATAACAAACAAAAAAAGAGTTTTTAGTTGCTTAAACTTAAATGGCTCGTTATTAAATATACAATATAATTGTGGCTCATCCATTAATACATATAAATAAAAATAATAAAATAAATTCAAAAATCAGATATAATTTAGATGACTTAACGTTTTACGAGTGTCTTCGTTAAGAACCCTCCGCGCCATTATATTTCCCATGG